TGCCAAGGGAGGAAGAGCGGAGCTGGGGACAGGCACTGGGTTGGTTGGCGCTCCTCTTCCGCACACTCAGGTAAGGTCTGGGAGCTTTATAGGAGGAGAATGGGGAAAAATGCTGTGCTTCTCCATTGTGAACACAGGTATGGTTAGGATTTAGGATTCTGCTTCCAGTCCTCACAGGCTGCAAAGAACACTGGATGCTAGGGTAGGAGCTCCCAGGTGGGGCTAGCGGCCCCATTCTCTAAAGTACGAACTCCACAAGTGGAAAGAGAAGCTTGCAGGCACTTCCAAACAAGAATATTGACCTGGGTCTTCAGAGGACTGTTTCTGTGCCCAAAACCTACTACACTATACTGTATAAGAGTGTTGTGCTAGTCAGGTAAGTAATAGATCTTGGTGGAGGGTGATTTTTGTTTTCTTTTGTTTTGTTTTTCACTTCTCAAGAAGAGAGGAGAAACAATGACTTTTACTGTCCCTTCAGTATTTTGTGCGCACAGTGATTGATTGATTGATTGATTGATTTTTTTCAGTCTTCTCTTTGTCTGTAAAGACTGCTTTCAATTTTGCTGCATATTATGGCTTGCAGCGCAATCTGCAGAAGTGTAAGATGGAGCTGCAAGACAAGGTGCAGCACTAGGGAAAATTTCCAGAAAATGCCCTAATTATTACATCTCTGTCTCTTTGGCTGCTATTCCCTAGGGGAACCATATGTTTTCATTGCAGAAGGAGACAGTCCATCCATTCCCATGGCAAAAACAGATCTCCCCATGCATACTCTCTGTAGATAAACTGGCAAAAAACTAAACCTCAACCTTTTATGCCTCCATTCACGCTTTGTTCAAGGGAATATTAACTTTAAAGTGTAGCAGAGAGCTATATAAAATTACCAATGTTATTGACTGCAATAAACCTGAAAACCCAATAGAGTGATTATCTGTTGGTTTGCCTCTTTGGTAATCACTGATATCTGCCACAGTGAATACCAAGGTAGGTACAAAATGATATCAAATTTAAGCAGTAGCATTCTGGAGAGCTTTGGCATAAGTAGCAGAAAATAGGGCCCAGTAGGTGTTAACACATGCAAATGAATCACAGGATCTCAATCTCAAAAAAAACTCCCTCCCTCCCTCGCTCCCTCCCTCCCTCCCTCGCTCCCTCCCTCCCTCCCTCCCTCCCCTCCCTCCCGTCCATTTCCTTTCCCTCCCTCCTTTTCCCTTCCTTCCTTCCTTCCTTCCTTCCTTCCTTCCTTCCTTCCTTCCTTCCTTCCTTCCTTCCTTCCTTCCTTCCTTCCTTCCTTCCTTCCTTCCTTCCTTCCTTCCTTCCTTCCTTCCTTCCTTCCTTCCTTCCTTCCTTCCTTCTCTCTTAGTAGTAAGTTTGTAGCCCTCATGGTGAAATATGACCCAAACAAACTCAAGCCAAACTAAGGGTTCACCATTTTGAAGTCTGAGAATGGGAAAGAAGGGGTGAAGAGACAAGAGAGAGAAGGTTACCACATGACTCTTGAATGTTTCAGATGTAATACTATGTCTAACTTTGAATGCTGATTTGAATGAATGCTACAGAGATAACAATGAGAAATAGTATTTGGGAAGCAGACTAGTTTTTTTAAAAAAAAAAAAAAGTTTTTTTTTTTTTTTAAAAAAAAAGTTTTGTAGCCTGAAGACAAAATGACTGGGAAAGCTCCCAAGTTCCTTTGCTTAAACTGGTTGAGTAAACACTGTAGATCTCATTTTCAGTGATGAAAATCATTAATATAGACCTACTCAGTACGAAGGTCAAAAATCACACCACTTGTGGAGATCTAGCCAGCCTCAACAAACACAAAATGAGAGAACTGACTACACCATAGGTCCCCAACACCCTACGTGGGAAGAGATGCCTTCATGGGCATGCTGGCTTGGCAGGGTGCAGAGCCAGGCAGAGACACTGGAGCCGGTGTGGGGACATGGAAGCCAGAGTTCAAGATCCAGGCCAGCACCCGTGTCCCCGGGGAGCTATCCTGGATTACATGTCTCTCTGCTACCTAAAATAATGACACTTACTGCCTAGTCATGGCTTTGATGACGCTTTTCTTTAGGGTATTTCTGCCTAAACATTCCCTTCTAAATTGGTAAAATGTTATTCATCTAGATCATGATCTTGTGAGGCCCTTGACCCTCTCAGACATCTGGGAGTGACTTGGCTGCAGTAAATTGAGGAGATACATGAATTTTTATTAGGGTGAGTTAGCAAGCACAGAGCTAAGCTCATGAACTGCATTATTTTGGGCCAGGGACAGCTGATTTCCAACTGTGTGTGGCACAAATAACTGCTCACTTCTCAGACTACAGCAAACCTGTGCTGGATACGCAAGTGGCACTCCCTGCTCAGTTGCAAAATGCTGTAATGAATTGAATTGAGTAGACAGGTGCAGAGAATTGGAAATAAAGTGGCCACTATTGGGAAAGGTGCTGCCAACCTAAAGCATTCCAAAACCATGAGTCCAGACAGTCTTCCCAAGTTATAAAACTGGATTATGCATAACTTTTAAATAAAAATAATAAACGGTAAGTTTGTTCTTGCTGTATGTTTTCAGAGCTTCCAACTGCTTCGTCTCACATTTTCTCTTCAGACACAAGTACTAAATATCTAAACATCAGCAAGTAAGGATATGCAAGGGAAACTCGAAATATCATGAAAATCATCATCTAGTTGTAAGAATTGGCAAGACTCCTGTAAACCTGGCACCGTAAACCAGAGGCATTAAGTATCACACATTTTTAAGCTTTATTTAATAGGCACTTCAGATCCAAATTATTAAGAACAATTTGAGATAAATGATGTAGAAAAGTAAGAGCTGCTTCTTGCTAACAAGTGTATCTTTGAGCTCAGTGAATGTGTGTGGAAATGCAAAGGTGTAGGGACAGTCTCCTAAGTCCTGCAGTTTTCCTTTTGTATTGGCACTGATGTGGGGAGGGCATTTCTCCTCCATGGTTTAAGACCTGGTGGAGCTCTAACGAAGGCAGAGTTGTCAGTGAGGCAACATCTTTTTGGCTGTGCCACTGTTCAGTGTTATAAACATTAATTCCAGATTATCTACTGGTGGAAACCATAGCTGGCAAGCTTTTGCTTATTTCCATTCCCTTTGCAAACCCAAGAGATACCTTATATATACTTCTACAAGATAAATAATGGGAGAATTCTATAAATGTTAGCTGTGGTTTGAATCTGTAGACAATTCATACGCTTCTTTTAAAGGTCACAGTAGGCTTAGAGCTCCTGCTCTTTTATTAAGACAGATGGATCTTTGATAAAGTTTCTGAAGATCATTTGGAGAAATTATTTAATCTCATGGTTATATCCTGCCCTTTTTTGGTCGTTATGCTCTGACCAAGGAATTATTTTGCCTGTTGCAATCATCCTTGGGGACACCCAATGTTGCCATGTAAACAGAGCACAAAACGGCCAAATTGTAAGACTCACTCCACTCTGGGTTTGGAAACCAAGAATTCAAGCTTTTGCTTCAAAGCAGTTTAAGTCCTCTGGCATAACCAAGAGCCAGTATGCAAGTAAAGTGAAAAAATTCAGGACCCCTTCAGTCCTGAAAATTACTTTTGACTGCAGTTCTAGAAACCTGGAAAGAAATACTGTGTTAGACCTCTAACAGCATTCTTACAGGTGCCTAAGAATTGGCTCCAAAGCTTGTTATGGTGATATAATTGTGTTTCAGTCAAGTTCGCTTAATTGATACGGTGAGGTAGTTGTTAAATACTTCTTAAGCAGAACCATTGGAAAACATTTAAAAATCAAATGTGAATTAACATGTTGCACTAAGTGCCCCAGCTGGCCAGTCAGTACAAACTTACATTGAAGGACCAGTTTAAAGCAGTTGTGTCCTAGCAGAAGAGTCTTTAAAGTTCAGCTACCCTGAGATTAGCTCCTAGAGCAGTAAACCATGAGCACTTTTTCCATTTTCCCTGAATTTATCCTAGATGCTTCAACAATCCAGGTAAGAAAAAACACAGCAACCCACACCTCCATTGCCAATAATTTTTTGATAAAGCTTTTGAAGATCATTTGGAGAAATTATTTAATCTCATGGTTATATCCTGCCCTTTTTTGCTCCTCATGCTCTGACTGAGCAATTACTTTGCCTGTCGCAATCACCCCCAAGGACACCCAATGTTGCCATGTAAACACAGTGCAAATGCCTAAATACTGCATTTGTAACTGGGTCATTTCACTTGTAGCCAGCTCTTGACCTAACTGAAGGAACAATTTCTGGCAGAGAACAGGCAGGAGCAAGTAGGAAGTTCATTTACAGCTCTTACACTGCCCATGCTGCTGACAGAGGGGTCAAGTGGGTCCTTGCCCTGCTGCAATTCAGAAAGAATAAAGCATCATGCAACTTAGCTAAATCAGTGGAGCTATCCTGGGTGGGCTCCCATATTTTAGAAAAAGTGTGTTATGACTATAGCTAATGTTGGTTACGAATCAATGTAACCTGAAAAATTTACAGACCACAGTAGTATCTCACATTTAGTGTGTTTACTTAATCAGATGTATTTCTAAAGTGGTTTCATAAAAGTTTATCATCTAGATCAGCATTTCTTCTGTATGCACAGAAGCCAAGACTGGTTATAGGTCAGGGGAATTATACAGAAGCATTAAGCATTCAAAATCAAAGTGAGGAAGTGAAATATTTCCTCCTAATGGGGACAGAGGCTTCTGGGATGTTTCCCAGAGGGACAGCTGCAAAAATGGTAAAGAGAGCAGGAAGAAAATCCCCAAACAGTTAAGTGAAATCTGCCTCAGGATCTGACAGATACTTGCCATGCATGTTTACCAGGACATTTGCAGTCTGTAGCCACAGCATTTTTTCTTAGCTTAACTGCAATTTTAACATGCCACCCAACCACAGTACCAAGACTAAATTAATCTGGTACGCTTTAAACTTGTAAATAAGATCTAGGCTTATGATAAGGCTAAAAGAAATACAAACAAAGCACAAAAACAAACAAACAAACAAAGACCCAAACCAAAAAGGCAACAGGGTAAGAAGGATGTGTGTGAGCTCACATTCTCAATTATTCTGTCTGCACTGTACTATCTTCCTTCTCGTGAAACCAATGCAGCTCCTCACACACAGCGCCTGGTCTCCATGCACCTGCAGGGCTCTTCCTGCCAGCTCATGAGAGCTCTGCCCACACAGCAGGTCGATGCCGAAGCATGGCTGGTGGTTTATCCAAGGGATTTGCTATAATACTTTTGTTTCTCCTCATTATGCCATAGCTTAATTCCTCAGGAGCCCTTGTGCAGCACATTGTGTGCTTCAGCCTTCCTACGCAGAAGTTGTTGTTGTTGCTGTTGTCCAGCAAACACACAGCGGGTGACAGTCTACATCTCATTTCAACATGAAAAACACCCTCCAATGAAGCCTGGCCTTGGGACAAAGCACCACAGCCCTGAAGGAATCTGTGGAAAAACAACCCCCCGCAGCCCCCATGTGCAGCCCAGCCCCTACCTGTGTCGTCGCTGCCCCAGAGGGGCCGTGTTTCGGACCTGGGCAGCGGCTCTCCCCTGCTGTGGGGCTCTTTCGCCTGCAAAAAAGGAGGAACACATCGAGTCACCAGAGATGCCTCAAATGCTGTGCTGTTGTCTTACAGCACTGAACCAAGATTATTTTCCATCTGAAGAAAACATGGTAAGTGGCAGTTCAAGGCCCCAGTCCAGCTGTGTCCATTATCGGGGCAAACTTATGAGGTGCCAGGTACTGTCATCTTCCAGAAAGGAGGAAGGCTTTGTGCCTTATCATGCTTTAAATTGTTTGTTTTGTTTTTTTTTTTCCTCAAAGTGTGCATGTTGACCTTACCGCCTTGGACCAGGCCAGTTGCCCCATTCTCCTGCCTTGGCCCTGCTGAGGTGGGTAAGGAAGGGGTAAGAAAATGGCAGGTCCTGGTGGGGTTGTCTGCTGACATGGGGCTGCTTGCAGAGAGACACACAGTGGCCTGGCAGGGAAGGCCTCATTGGGGATGAGTTTGGGGAAGAAGAAGCACAGTGAATCCCTTCACATATCCTTGTATTGCCAACCTGGGAGCTACAGGCCCCTGTTGCCCTCCTGATTAACATGTGCTCACCTTCATCACTCCATCCTCATCCCTGCTACTATGGTACATCTAACTGCTTGCCTTCTGCATCGCCCTTACTCATACAAGAGGCTTGGATCAGAGCTGTGAAAGAATTTGGGAGAACTGAGAGCAGGACTGTTCTCTGGCACCAGTTTTGCAAGGGCACTGGCCGCTGGCCTCAGTGCTGCTCCTTCTGGGGGACAAATTGACTGTGAGTGTGGAGATAGCCAGCAGCACCACAAATTTGCTAACCCCCTCTATCCCAAAGTGCTTCACAGGCTCTCAACCCCACCAAAATACTGCATCCAGCATCAGGACAAGAAGCAGCAGCCAAAGAGCAAATGATTTGTTACAGAAAAACAAGGTAAAGAATTGCCACTAAATCACAGGCTACACTTTTATTGTCCAAAAATAGTAGAATATTTCTTGCTCACATCAAAACTTAAATACGTCTTCATACAAATGCAATGTTCTCAAAGTCAGTAGTCCTGAAGGATTAAAGAGCACATCAGTGTGAATCTGGGACTTAGGCAAATCACTCGAGTAGACTTCAACTCCGAAGTTCTTCACAGTTTTAGTTTAAGAAGCACTTTCATTCAAAAGATTCCCAGTTTAAATGGCAGCTTCACCTACTGTTACACACACTCCAAAAAGGTGTGAAGCTTTCTTGAGGATGCCCAAGGCTTTAAAACATTGAAAAGATGGCTCACTTTTCTGATGACATATTTCTGACATTTTATTCAGGAGATTAAGCGCTTTATGAATAACAAGGAAGAAATAGACATTCAAGACAGCCACGGTTCCAGCCGCTGCAAAGCTCTGTGATTGAAGTTAAGAGCCAGAGGGACAGTAGGACTGAAGTAGCACAGGAATAGAAGGCAGGTGTGGATGAAGGGAGAGTCAGAGGAAAAGTGCTTAATTTGATGTATTCCAGGCAGAACTGTGATTATGCTCAGAAGAACACAAGTTCAGAAAACTCAGAGAAAAGCAATGAAGGAAAAGGTATGGATCTGTCCCTACAGAAAAACATAACTTTGCATATGTGCAAAACAATATATGCTAAAAATATATTACAAAGCCATGTCAAGGACAAAAGTGTAATGTGCACAGTGTCCATAAGCAATAAAAGGCTGAGTATTGAAAACTGCAAACTCTGAACTCTGTCCCTTAACAGAGCCCTTTAAAAAGGAAAACTGTCTTGGTCACCTTGTCATGAAAAAAAGAGGTCTGCAGTCAAAAATGTGGAAAGGTGAAGTGCTGGGAAGTTGTACAGAACATTTCCTGACTGAATATGACACAACTATCAATTATATATCTTAGGGGCCCCAGAGCTATGGTGATTGCTACAGCAGAGAAGTACACAGCAGTTAGAAGGAGAGGTGGACTACACATATGCAGCAAGTCCTAAGGAAACATATTTATGCTAAAAAAAAAAAAAAAAAAAAAAAAAAAAAAAAAAAAAACAGAAGGGAGGCCCCTCTTATTAAAAGCAGTGACTCCCAGCAGGATCACATAGGTTCTTGGTCCATTTTCTAAATATAGGAATTTCACATGAAGCATAAACATTGCTGATTCTCATGTCTTAAATGTGACAAAAAGTACAAGGCAACCATACGCACGGAATAAAAAGTCTTTTGTAGGTGCTTCATTTTTGTTATTTTCCCCTTAATAATACTTGCAGAGGAAAAATTTTGCTACTTCTCTGTGACTTAATGACTATGCCTTTCATGGTGTTTGGAAAATGCTGGGTTGTCTGTTTCCCATCTGACTTTGCTCAAGCCTAGAGTTCAATGAGGAGGCAAACAGTTTAATGCTAGTGGCCAAGTCTTTGTGCTAGCTAAGTACACTTAAGTCACAACAGATAAGACATCAGCAAGTCAAATATTTAATAACAATATACATACAATAGTGACTCACTGTAGAAAACAACACATTCTTTCATTCCATGAAGCACAACATCTCCCTTCCCACTTTTCTAGTACTCCATTACTGTGACCATAAAAAGCCAGTCTCCATGGTGAGTGGCACAGCTCCCACTAAGCCTCGTCTTAGCAGTCAGCTGTGGAAAACTGCAGCCTCCAGTCTGCAAGAAGTAAACCACGCTAGAGGATCTGTCTCTGAAGTAGAGTTTAGAGGCATTAATCTGTTTCAGCATTGCTGTGATCTCAGTGCCACTGGGAGAAGATAAAGGGAAGTTGAGGTCAGAAGTTCATGTGTCAGTGCAAGCAACACTTGACTGATTTTCACTGAATATCAATGCTTCATATATTTTGTGCAAACATGATGTTAATTGCATGATCCTATTTTTCTTATTTTAGGAAGAGTAAAAAGACAGCAATCTTTCTAACCCCTAAAAAATAACAGCTGAAACACTTCCTTCTCTGCTCTTTTTTACTGAGGCACACAGTTGTTGTCAGCCACAACACCTCTTGTGTTTTCTAAGTCTGGAGGCTGCCTGGAAAAGAAAAATAGGAAGAGAGACAAAGCAGACAGAGTGACTGCCTGTGGTTGCATGTGCTTTTAATGGAAGTACTGCTATGTTTAGCATCTAGCCAGTCCTCATCTGTTCTGCTGAACCAAGTCAGAGAACTGTGATCCATCTCATTCATCTCAATGGCAATTTAAACTCTCAAGCCTAATTTACACATCAACATTGTTAATTATTTCATTGCTGAACATCTCAACAGAAAGAACTCATTAATGGCTACATATTCTGTTCACTTGAAAGGACATCAATACCAACAGTGGAAGCAGAATACATTACCTAGACTAAACACCACAGCCACTTTGTATTAAAAAGAAAAAGTGTTGCTCACAGATACCAAATGATGCTCATTTATTAAGGTTATATGCCTTCACTGGTTCCTCATGGACTTCTGTAGAAGACCTACCCTACTAAGACACAGTCTTGGGATCCAGCACATTTTTGCTAGTGGGATGAAAATGTTTTCATTTGAGATTCTCAATTATCTAAACAAGTCACTGAATTCTTTATGGCACTTAATATATTCCAGACTTACAGCTTCACTCCTGTAGATAGTCCCTTCAAATGAAGAGAACGACAGGATGTGACAGGGCTGAGCATGCATTATCTCTGTGCATTGTGCTTGTGAAATGCTAACCTAAATAATATTAGTGACACTAAAATGTCTATAATCAGATTTTAAAGGTAATTATACATTAAAATGAATGGGAACCATCCGCATTCCTCCTGGTGCAACTGCTTCAGCAGTGCTGAAGTCTCAGCAGTGTTATCCTCCCCAGACACTACTGTCTCTGGAGCCAAGCCATGTTGCCACAGGTCCTAAGCAGCTACCAAAACACCACCACAGTGTCTAGTGCCCAGGAAGGGCTACCATCATTTCAAGTGACTGCAGTCAGCCACAACATCTGAAATGAAAGCAGCCTGGACTGCCCTGTGCAGGTGTTCAAAGCACGAACCCTAGGTGAGTCTGAAATCTGAAGTTTACCAAACCAGGGCATGGCTATTGCAATGTATTCCTGGCAGGTGCTCCCAGGCAGATCTGTGAAAGAACATTCAAAAGTTTACATAGGTGGAGCTCTAAAAACTGTGGGCACTCTGAGCTCTGCCTGTGGGTGGAAGAAGCACTGGTGCAAATTTCCATTAAAAAACAAAACAAAATAAAACATAACTTGCAGTGGGATTGTTTATACTGAGGTCAAGACAACTTGAAGGACCAAAATTAAGTGAGTTGCAAAGCTGAGAGAAGCCCATTGACTATTTCTTGTGCTGCAAGACTTTCTTCAGCCACTATGTTTCTCCACCCAGCACTCTGCATCAGAGGCCCCTGTACTAAGTATAATGGACTGCGGGATCCCAGAGCTGGAAGCACAAATTTCCATACTGTTACTACTGCAAACACACAATGCAGATGTTAATTAAGACACCTGTCTACATTTCTGTTCTCCCTTCCTGGCTCTCAGAAGGATTCAGCCTATGCAAAGTCCCATGCTTGTGTTATAAAGGTCAGAAACAACATGCTTTTTAGACAGATGTCTCGCTATGTCCTAGATCATAATTTCTGAAGAGGTACAGAAGCAGGATGACAAACCTGAAGCATCGCTGCCCCTGCATTGCTCCATAAATGAAAAAAGCATATATTTTGTTTTTCTTTTTCACTTCTTTTGGTCCCTCCACCTCCACCCTTTAGCTTCTTTTCTGCTATGCTACTTTCCAGAAAGTCTGATCTTTCTCATGGGAAGTGTGTTTTTTCAAGACCTGAAGATAAGATTGCGTAGTCTTGCATGAAAAAGAACTTCCTTAGTAAGATGAAAAGAAGCCTGGACTACAGCAGCATAAGCAGGAGATGGATTTATACATGTCTGAAGGGAAGAGGGTTACCTTGCTTTGCAAAATACTTTTCTTTCTCCAGAATTCCTGTACAGATACCCCAGTGGGATCTGAAGGATTCTTTCCCCAGAGAATAACAAGACTTCAACTGCGTTACTTA